TTTATTAATTATGATTGGATGCGTGTCTCGGATTGATTTGTCTTCTTCAGTCTTCATGATCATCTAGGAAAATGCACTTCTTCTTCTATCGATTATGATGCTTATTTTTATTATTATAAATATTATTATTTCTGATTAGGTATATTTATTAAATCATTAAAAAATTTTTTTTAAATCCTTCCATTCTTTGATGTTTATGATATTGATATTGTAATATCTACAACTATAGGATATCTTAATTTGGTGTATTTCAGCTAAGCTCCAATTTTATTGGAACTTTGTATTTCTTTTCATTTATATATTGAATTTAACAGATTATTTGATTTAAGGGATTGTTTCAATAGATAGATTTTTTAGATTTTGAAAATATAATAATTTAAATTATATTTATACAATTTTTGCAGAATTCATTTAAGAGAAGGATGCAAATCGACGCAAACATTGACATCACTGACAATAATGATGTAGATACGTGTTATTATTCATCATTACAAAGTAAATCTTGTTTTTTTGTGAATTTGTTTCAAAATTAAGATTATTATAATGGAAAGCTTTTGCATTGTTTAAGTAAATTTAGCATGCATAAATCATGATCTAGGTGTCTAGAAAATATTAATATTTTAATGAATTACTGGATAACGCCAGTTAAATTAATGGTTATTTAGAATTTATGATGCAGGCATATCATCTATTCAAAGATTAGTTAAAAACTTTTGCGATTTGATTAAAACTTAAAGATATTAAAAAACCAAAAACAATAATTTAATAATTTAAAAAAAAACACAGATTTAATGTTATATTATTATTTATAGAGTCTATAACAGAAATTAAAGCTTTATGAATGGGATTATTTCTAGGTTTGCTCCATGATTAAATATACAATCTAAAGTAAGGTAGAGATTCATAATTTTTGAGAATTTTAAACATTTGATTATCTAATAGTAATATACGATATAATGTTTTTAATATTATGTTTGGCTTATCTCTATTTTTATAAACCTTTTTTTCTCAATTTTCTTATCAACTCCTGCATCTAAACCTCAAAAAAAAAAAATCAATTAGATTTTCCTTATTTGGTAAATGTGACAGTGGGTCTAAATCCATAATTGCTCATCTGCTTATTATTTTTAATAAAATAATTTAAAGCAACCCTTTTTAAATTCTACTGTCTATTAACTTTTTTTTATTTAAACTTCTTCTACTAATTTCAAGATTAATGGATATTTAGGAAATTATTGATGTAAAAGAAATATTATTTATACTGAAAAAATAATGAATCTTTTAGTTAAATGTTTGTAAGATCACTTATAGCAATTTTCTCTCACAGAATATCCTTATGAAATCGTTATTAATTGATATTAATAATTGAGGCGAGTATTTATTGAAAGTATTAATATAATTGTTGGTATATAAATAACATTTATTGATGAATTGTTCTTCTAAATTGCTTACTCTAATAAAGTATTGCTTAAATTTCTAAACATAAAAATTAAATACAATTCAATTTCTATTGAAAAAGTTGTATTTAAAATAGATTTATTCAAAAATAGGACGTAAAATTTTTGAAAAATTCCAAAAATTTAATAATTTAATAATTTCTTCCTCAAATATTCTAAAAAAGTAAAATATTCATCATCTTTCAAAATAAAATAATGAATTTTCTTATATCTGATTCTGTTTAAAAGAAATTATAAAAATGTGAATATATCTAAAATATTAGTAAATTAAAGCTAAGATTTTAGGAGTATTTTTATTTAGTCTTATAATTTCTTAATTGAATTCTTGAAAGTTGTGCTATACCATATTTAGAGTTTTGATTTATATCCTGAAGTTACTTTGGATTCAGAAAATTAATTAGACTTCTTTAATCGAAATAAAGATGAATTAATAAAGAACGAATCAAAAAGTTTTGAATCTCAGGAGCAAACCTATATAGTTCTGATTTAAGAAGTCTAATTAATTTATGAAAAGAATTAGATAATCTATATTAATTATGTTAATAAGATTAATTTTGAACCAATAGTTAAAAATCAATTAATGTTATAAACTTGAGTAAATTTAGAGAAGGATGAAGGAATTGTTTGAAAAAGGTAATTTTATGTATCAGATGCAAATGATTAAGAGCAACTCAATAAATATCAAAATTGAATTTTAAAATTTTTTCAGAATGCCATTTTTTAATGGCCGATCAAATTTTATTTTTAAATTGACAGTTTAAATATGATCAATTTTTAAATAAATTAGAAAAAACTATGCTAAAGCATTATATTAATTCTTGAAAACATTATTATTTATCGTCATAAAATAGAGGAATCAGAATTGATTCGATTATATTATTATTGATATTTCCTCAACATCTTAATGATAGATCAGAACACTCTGAATACTACAATTATGATATTTATTCAATGGAATTAAATTTACTTATGAATATTTCACAGAGTGAAAACATGATATAGAAGAAAAAAGGATGTTTAAAAGGTTAAAATAAGATTTTAAGGGATTATTTTAGATGAATTACCCTAAAATAGTTTTTAAGGGATATATTAAATTATTAATATAAAAAGAGTAAAGAAATAGTTATAGTAATCTAATCAGATATGATTAAAGCAGCAGTAAATTTTATTTTACTTAGTTGTAAAAGACTATTTATGTTTTATTAGACTTATTCTTAAAAGAGGCAACTCTATTAAAAAAAAGAAAATAATACTTATAAAAGTAATAATTATATTTCAGATGGAAAGAATAAGAGGAGATATCCATAGGGGATTATTATGAGTCAATTTATTGATTAAACGATGAGAGTAAAACAACAAGATCGTCGTGATTATATTAAAAAATTAAAATTGTAGAAAGAACTTTAGATAGTTAAAATTGTTATACCCTAGGATAAATGTAAAGATGAAGATGATGAAAATGAAAATGATGGGATAGTAGATTTTCGTAGGAGAGTATATAAGATTCTATAAAGAAAAGTAAATTTATTTTATTCTTTATCAAAATTTCTTATCTCAATATGTTTTGAGCAATATTAGTAGATAATTTATTAATATCTTTCATCAATTTGGGATTTATATATAATATATGAACATTTAGATAAGGCAAATTGGATTAAAACAATCAATGATAAAATAAAATAGACTTTTGACTAGTGTAGAATATCAACAACGATTTGTTTATGAGAAAGATTAAAATAGCTGCATTTGTAGCATAATCAAAAGCAGAGAATGCACACAGATATTAAAGATTTACTTCATAAATGCCCAATAATGATATATGTAAACGCGTAGATTTATTATTAAAATATGTAAATAAATAAAGTGGTTTTTTAAAAAAAGATGATGAAACTTTTATTCTAAAACAAGTTTAAAAAATATAATACTTTCATGATAATTAGGATTAGGATTTTTCTAATAAAAATTAAAAATGTTCAAAAATTTAATGAGAGAAAAAGGTAAAGATAAGATTTTGAAAAAATATTTTATTAAAACCAATAAATTAGAACAAATAAGATCAGTCATGGGTAATAAAATTCAAGTTTAATCAATTCTTATAATAAATAGGTGTTCTATCAGTTCTCTTTTCAATCCTAATATTGATGTCTAAACTAATCATTTTGTGCCATTACAATTTAGTAACAAAATAATAGGAACTCTCTAAGATTTCAATATTTAAGTTATTAGAAATAGTGATTCTAAAGACAACTAAATTGATTAAGAAATATTTAAATAATTTTTTCTTTAAATTTCATCATTTTTATCATAAACACTATGCTTTTATTTTTTAGAATTAATCTTTGAATTAAAATCTCTTTATTTTTTACTAACATTTCATTTCTTTATCATGGAATTTTCTCCAAACTATATTGATTAATACTTAATAAATTGATATATTTATCAACTTTAATATCAATTCAAATCTCTAGTGAGCTTTCATCTTTTGTTGAGCATATAAGCATTAAGGGTAACAATTTAAACAGCTAAACGAACCAGTTTTATCATATGTTATTACAAATTTCAACTTGAATTAATTATAAAGAAATAAGACGTTAAGCTAGATGAATAATCCAAACCAAAACTAAATCACAATTGAAGAGTTAATCTTAAATTTATTTAAATAATTAGCATTAGAGACTTTCTTTCATTGATTATGTTTTAATATTATTCAAACTCTCACCTCCCTTCTCTTAACAGAAATGTAATAAATGATCATGGCTAAAGTAATATTGATTTAACTGTAGTCAATTAAACCAGTTCTTCCCCTCCAAGAGGATTGAATACTATCAAATTATAATATTGATTTGATTTCAACTTCAAATTTTACTTATTAAAAATTGAAATCATCATTATTATTAAAAACTTGTGCACTCTGCTCATTCTCCTCTCCAAATTGATAGTTTCCTTTTGTCTAATAAACTCCTTTTTTATCCCAATAATAATGTGACTTTCTTCAATTCTTAAATTGCATTATTTAATTTCATAGTTTCAATTAACTACTTATTATTATTTATTCTTTTCCTTGGATCCTTTGATACCAAAATGATAATATTTTATATGGTATTTCTTTTTTTGTAATTGTTTTCATAGTCTGACTAAACAACTATACTTGAATTATTCTAATCAGTTCATCTGATTCTATTTTATTTGTTGACTAAAAGACTAATTATTATTATTCTAATTAAATATGCAAATAATTTAAGCATCATTAAATTTTAATCTATTAACTGCTTTATATTTCTATAATTAAAGAAAAAGACCATTAAAATATTTACTTCTTTTCTCCTATTATAATATGAGAGAGCGTATAAAAGTATTCTGCAATTTAAAGTTAATCAAATTTTTTTGAATCCTAAAAGAAATTGGAAGAGGTAAAATTTCAATAAAAAAGTTCATCAATTAAAAATTTCATTTGAAATTAATTAATTTATTGGTATAGCAAATTTGTATTGTGAATAATTTTGAAACTCTTAATTTATCAAATCATATTTTATTACCTCTAATTTATAAATGATCAGATATTTAAAATTACGATTAATAATAGCTTCAATTTCTATTTTAACAACTTTTGATATTGTTAATAGTTTTAAATTTAGGCATATATTCAAAATTAATAAGGCATTGAACTTAAATTTTATGAGATAATGCAATAATAGTAATTTTCATTTATAGTATATGTAGTAAGTTTATCATAAATCAAATTTAAATAACTTACTTAAATTGCCTTTAGAACCAGAAAAAAATTTCTTCATATACAAAATTAAAGGTCAATTGGATTATCTCAAATTAATTACTTTTTTATTGAATAGATTTTAAGGTTTATTTAAGCTTTAATGAATAAAGAATTGTAACTGATCACAAATCACTTGTCTATTGATATTTATACCCAACTTCTTCAATTTGAAGGTTTTATCTAAATGATTAAATGGATTTTATCAAAATAATATTTCCTATATATATGATTGGATAAATATATGTTACTTGATCACAATTATTTATTTTTAAAGAATAGAAAATGTATAGTAATTTGATTTATTATATGTTAAGTAGTATAGATAGATTGCAATGTAAGAATGAAAACTTTATTTACACATTACTGTATAATAGTGTTTGAAATAATAAACTAAAATAATAAATTGTTTAGATTGTGCTGAAATTTAACCTCTCTTTTCAACAAGCTTTTAGGATTACACTTGAAACAATAAATTGTTATTAATAATAAGGATAAGTAAGTTCTATTCTAATTGGTAACTGCTTTATGCGCAAATCACTTCAACTTCATCTTAAGTTTTAAAATTTAATTTCTATCACTTAAATACAAATAATATTAACAAATCCAAACTTTATATTGATCTATATATTTATGATTTTAGTATTACCAATTGAATACTAGTAGATTAAGATTTATTAGTTGAGTGATTATATGAATTGCTAAATAGATTTCAGGATTTTTGTGCAAAATATCCAATTTTAATAGTCCTAAAATACATTTATTTGTTCAAATTAATAAATTTTACTAAAGAATAGATATCATTATATAAGAGAACAGTTGTTCTTTATATAAATTAAACTTAATAATAATAATTAATTTACTTTATTTGTTTGGTAAGATAATATTAAAGAATAAGTAAATGATATTTTCTATATCTTTGAAAATGAGTCTTTGTAAATTAATTTTTGAATATGAAATAACTATCATAATGAGATTGAATTTTTTAGGATGATATCAGATACACAAAATTTATATTGATATTAATTGATTGGATTTTATTTTTAATTAAAATATGGGTATTTGTAGATCTAGCCCTATGCCAGAAGTAAAGGAAATAAATGAAATAAATTTCATAGAAAAGAAGAATCAAATTATAGTTCAAAATGTAGAATAAGAAGAAAATTAAGCTAGAGGAAAGAAAGCCAAATAAGATTTAGAAAAAGAAAAAGAAAAAGAAAAAGCGAAAATAGATGAAGATAAACCTAAAGATCAGAAAGAATATTAAGGGAAGTTTATTGAGCCATCTTTGCCTGCTTATTTTATAGAGAAAGTCAATTATAAACCAAAGGAGGAATATCGATATCTCCCTCCTTACTAAGATGAAGATGGAAGCATTTACAAAGGATAATGGAGTAAAGGGGAAGCAAACGGATATGGTTAAATGTTAAAACCTGACGGAACTTATTTTAAAGGATTGTGGTAATCTGATATCTTTACAGAAGGAGGTATTCTGTATCCAAATGGGGAGTTCTTTGTAAATCTAATTGATTATTTTTTAGATTGGAACAGCTAATTTTGGAATAAGATGCTTAAAAAACGGTGTCATGTTTTAAGGTGAAGCAGACTATGGAATTCCTCATGGTTAAGGTGTAGAAATTCATCCAAATGGTAAGAAAAATCAAGCATTTTATTAATTTGGAGAAAAGATATAATAAGATTAAAATCAAAAGAATCATTGAGTTTCTTCTTATCTAAATTGTTTTATATTTTATTTAAATTTTTATTTCATAAAAATTCTATATTACTGTAGTGAAAAATAGTTTAAAAAGAAGGCTATACTTCTAATTAAGAAATGAATTGTAAATGTAATTTTAGAAATAAAAACAAACCTAAATAGATTGAATCATATAGTTATCTATAACAATATAAATCAGCTTACCTAAATATCCTTACCAAAAATCTACCATCATTCTTTCATTCTTTTATTGGATATTTCACATGTTAAAAATATATTATTTAAGGAGAACTCTTTTGTATAGCATTCAAAAAGAGAGGAATAATAATGTTAACAGAATTCCTATTTTTAAAATGAACCGAATTACTCTAAATTATATCATAGTAATAATTTAAATTACAATTTATAAAAGACTCATTAAATAAATCTTAACAGTTTATAATAAATTTTATGATCAATTCGAAAGATAAATGTAGTTTAATTAATTATTCTTGAAAAATTTATGGTAAAACAAAACCACAAATATCTCCATCAAAACTAAGAAAGTAAATATCAAATTAACAAAATAATTGAAGGTATCTAAAGTAATTAATAAATCAGAATTATTACTGTAACTGATAATATAATAATATTCTTTCATTTATTTGTTTCAACTATCTCATCTATTCTATCCAACAATTCTGTCTCATTTTATTATTTCATAAAAGCCAAGATTTCTGTTTTATCTAGTAATTTGATTGGTAATCCTTAAAACATCTTTAACTCTTATAATCCTTCAATCAAACATTATAAAATGAAATGACTTTGCTAGTCTATAGATTTCAAACAAGAGGATATCATTATAATCAATTATTTTAATACTTATTCATCTGGTTTTAAAATGGAGATTTCCTTAAAACACATAGTAATCCCAAGTAATGTTTAAGATTGATGTGTACTTACAAGTTTATCTTTCCCTCCTTAAGCATCTAAATTTTATTATAAAAGAATTTATGCCTCTTCTGAATTTGGAAAAAGTCTAACAAAATCTTAATAAGCTACTTCCTTATCCTTAACAACTTAAATTTTTTATTGGAAATATTTTATTAAATCAGTATGATCATTAAGTAATGCCAATATTTTTGAACAAAATACTTTGCATTCCAAAGCATCACTTAGATGTAATAAGCAATTATCTATAATTTTTTATTGATATTGCATAAGATCAAAAATATTTAATCTTATTAAATGATACATCAAACTAAATCCAGCCTATCTGACCATAGGATTGATTTCAAATAAAGTGCAATTTTAGGCTACCTTCAATATTTCATTATATGGCAATTAATTCGGTGTTTGGTTTAAGAATAAGATTACTGTTTAAAGAGTTAATAGTCCACTAATTCTGATTTAATAATATTGATTTGTTGTACAATTATAATTATAGATGAGACATTCATTGAGGAATCTATCTTTTATTATTGTAATGAGACCCAAAAAAGGAGGACCTCCAAATGAAAGAAATTGCTCTTGAACAATGTTGATAGCAATTTCCATCAAATTATCAGTATGGCAATTGTTAAGTAAAGGTATTATAAAACAATCTTTATCTTTTGGATTCAGAGTTTAATATTCCATAAGTGCTTACATTCTCACTTCAAGTGATTCATCCATCAAACCTTATTAAATTGTTGAAACAATAATTGTTTAATACTCATTGCTCTCATATTTTTGAAGAAGATGATGAACAAATTTCTATGCATATTATCTTACATATTTATTTGAGTGTTTTGATGTCCTTTAAATGATTTCAATTACTTCAATACATTTATCGAAATTGTATTTATGTTATAGAAATAATTACATTGATCCCAATAAACCTTAAATGTTGTAGAATTNCTGATAATATAATAATATTCTTTCATTTATTTGTTTCAACTATCTCATCTATTCTATCCAACAATTCTGTCTCATTTTATTATTTCATAAAAGCCAAGATTTCTGTTTTATCTAGTAATTTGATTGGTAATCCTTAAAACATCTTTAACTCTTATAATCCTTCAATCAAACATTATAAAATGAAATGACTTTGCTAGTCTATAGATTTCAAACAAGAGGATATCATTATAATCAATTATTTTAATACTTATTCATCTGGTTTTAAAATGGAGATTTCCTTAAAACACATAGTAATCCCAAGTAATGTTTAAGATTGATGTGTACTTACAAGTTTATCTTTCCCTCCTTAAGCATCTAAATTTTATTATAAAAGAATTTATGCCTCTTCTGAATTTGGAAAAAGTCTAACAAAATCTTAATAAGCTACTTCCTTATCCTTAACAACTTAAATTTTTTATTGGAAATATTTTATTAAATCAGTATGATCATTAAGTAATGCCAATATTTTTGAACAAAATACTTTGCATTCCAAAGCATCACTTAGATGTAATAAGCAATTATCTATAATTTTTTATTGATATTGCATAAGATCAAAAATATTTAATCTTATTAAATGATACATCAAACTAAATCCAGCCTATCTGACCATAGGATTGATTTCAAATAAAGTGCAATTTTAGGCTACCTTCAATATTTCATTATATGGCAATTAATTCGGTGTTTGGTTTAAGAATAAGATTACTGTTTAAAGAGTTAATAGTCCACTAATTCTGATTTAATAATATTGATTTGTTGTACAATTATAATTATAGATGAGACATTCATTGAGGAATCTATCTTTTATTATTGTAATGAGACCCAAAAAAGGAGGACCTCCAAATGAAAGAAATTGCTCTTGAACAATGTTGATAGCAATTTCCATCAAATTATCAGTATGGCAATTGTTAAGTAAAGGTATTATAAAACAATCTTTATCTTTTGGATTCAGAGTTTAATATTCCATAAGTGCTTACATTCTCACTTCAAGTGATTCATCCATCAAACCTTATTAAATTGTTGAAACAATAATTGTTTAATACTCATTGCTCTCATATTTTTGAAGAAGATGATGAACAAATTTCTATGCATATTATCTTACATATTTATTTGAGTGTTTTGATGTCCTTTAAATGATTTCAATTACTTCAATACATTTATCGAAATTGTATTTATGTTATAGAAATAATTACATTGATCCCAATAAACCTTAAATGTTGTAGAATTATTTTTTGTTAGTATAATAATGTTTATGAATAAATATTGGTTCTTATACCTTAATGTTATTTTAAATGTCTGGGAATGGCTCTTTGAGGAGTTATTTTGCAAATTTATAGGTGTCATCATAAGTATAAAGGGCCTCTTCATCCCAAATAATTTCATCCAACAATAAATCTAAAACTTATCTGCTTAATTCCTGGAAATTGTGTTTTAAAAGTAATTTTGATATAATTTGTATGGTTAATTCTTAGATTCGATTATCTTAATGTTGTAATAGTTATAATAAAGAATTTTATAATATTTACAAGACATTATCTACACCGTCTGCTATAAACTAATATTCTAATAATTTATTACATTAAATATTTCCATAGCATATAGAATTTTCTATTCACTTTAGTAAAGGGATTTCGCCTTTTCAAATAATTCTTCCTTAGAAGTATTGGTTATTCTGAATTCATCATTAAAAGAGTTGATATTTGTTTGTTAATTTGCCATTTTTATTTAAATTAAATAAGAAATGAAATTGCAATAAAATTATAAACCAGCAATATTGATGAAAGAATTTAATTTTTTAAAATAAATTAAAATCAATTTTGTTGCAATTTTTATTAAATTTATTTCATTAAGGAGTTTCACAAATGTAATTTAAGAAAGATAAAGGATAATATTTGTTCCATTATGCAAGTTATAATTTATGGATTTTTATTGATAATATTATTTTAGTAGTACAGTAGTCACCATACCTAGAGCATGACTCATCTATAACTCTTTTAAATTAAGAATTCTCTATCATCTTTATTCCAAAAATATTAATTACTTTAAAAGAATTATATTTTTGTTCCTAATAATCTGCAAAAAAAGCAATAATATTCCTTTTTCCTTTATCAAATATTAGCTTGATTTTTTTATAACTTGATTCTACTCTTGGTATTATCTTGATGCAATGATTTTCAAATAATAAATATCTTTTAAAGTTCAAAAGTCATATGAGCATTCCTTTAATTATTAAGCTAACATAAATTCCATCACTTTCAAGATTATTTTTAATTAAATTTCAGTTTTGTAATCAAAGTTTAATCTTCATCAATACAGCCATTATAAGATAAGTAAGCATTTTAATCATTTTACACATTGCATTCAAATATCAGAAAACTTCTTAGATTTATCTATTATTAAATATTCTTATGTTCATTTATGCCCTTAACACCTGCTGCCTTAAAAGAAGTTTTAAGTTTTAGACATGATTTCTATACAGTTTTACTTTTTCTATTTGCAGAATAAAAAAGAGGAAAGGCTTATCTCTCTTAATGATTTATTATTAAAGCATCCTCTCATCTATCTTCGGTGTATCAATCTCTTTTAACTCATTAAATTTTAAAGGATTCAAATATGCTTTGCATTCTTCATCAGTCGTTCCATTCACAATTCTCTATCCATCTAAACCAATAGTATTATTAATCAGATATAAATCAAATCAATTCTGTATTCTGAACCAGATCTTATTATAATATATCTAAAAATTAATACTTTATTTATGAGTGTTGATAGTTTTGCATGATTCTAATAATTTAGATCTCTGTATTAAATATTTGTCCCTTTCTTTTCATTTTCATTTAATATTACTTTTGTAATGACTATGAAAATTTTTTTAATAATAGAAAAACCTCTAAGCTTTAAAGTATGGTTTAAAATGAAAAATATAAATAAAAATATCTAAATTAACTTATTATAATAATTATCAATAACATATGTTAATCTACTTCTATAGTGATAAATTAATAATGCCAATTTTTGATGTTATCCTTTATAAATTATCCTAAAAATTTAAATATTAGTTTTTACATTTTAAATTATAATAAAAATTATTTATATTTATATTTTATATTTTATAAAGTGAAATTATAGAGTATAAACATGATGATGATTTATTTGATAAAGTTACTATTTGGAGATGCTATTGTAAAAAATCATAATGCAAAAAACAATTATTTAGAATGTATCATCAGAAATAAAAAATGTTAAATCTTTGTAAAGGCAATAATTATGAAAATAAAGAAAAACATCAATCATTTAAAATAATTGAGTTAAGGTTAGTTTATGAAAGAAGAAATATGTAAACGAATAAATTAATAATAAAGGATGACG